GAATTATTAGAACTTCTTCGAAGGACATCATCGGGATCCTCTGGGAAAGTGGGCTCTTCTGTTCAATTGTCGAGGATGGTCTCGTGATTCGGCGCGCTCCTTCCTTCCCTTTTTCAGTTTTCTTCCGGACTGGCGATACCTAAGTGCTGCGACTATTGGTGCGGGTGGTGCCGGCGCAACAGACGTTCGCGCCCGGGCCCGTCTCGACCCCGGGGCGAGCCGTTGTTCCGCTTGCCCGCCGCGCTGTTAGACCTCCGTGTATTTGCTCAGCTCGTCGCGCAGGAGCATGTTCTCGTTCTTTAACCGGTCCAGTTCCTGCCGCAGGCCCATGTTCTGGAAAACGAGGGGAACAAGAATTTTAGTCCCATTTGTGACTAAAATCGTATTCCTTTCTCTTTTTCGTAAGTTAAAAGTTTCCTCGCGTTTCTACTGGCTGAAATTCGGCATGCAACGTGTTAACCCTTCGCGCTCTCAGTCACCACTTGATTGTTGATTGTTGAATATTTAATGTTTTAAACGAACGAAATATTTCACGAAACGTGTGAAACATTTAAATAAAGCAGCTTCGTTATCTGTGAATTATCGCTAAATTAGTTTGAAACAATGTCCGTATCTCGTCAGAAGCTACTGAATATTTTCAGTGAAAAACTTTCGAGTGCGAAGAGTTAACACGTTGAGTTACTATAGTTCACTCGATTAACACTAAACCTACCAGACAGGTCAAAATGACCCATTCCTGGTTTCTTCTTTTTGCAATTATTAAAAGGATGACAGATATTTCTCGAAGAGATTATTCAAGAAATTGATTTAGTAACACGTATACTGAATTATCAATCAATTAATGTCTCGATGAATTTCAAAAAGTGAATTTAATTGCTCGTTTAATTGATCGTTTGAGAATATTTCTATATTCTAAATAACGCTACCTAACGCGATGACGTTCAGCTAGACGAACGCGCGATAAGGATAATGCAAATTCAATCGAATGATCCGGTTTTTTCTATTTCGCATATTTTGCTCTACGATCGTCGATTTTCATGGAAGGATTACGAGATCCACTGATACGACGAAGAAGTTCACGTCTCCGGCGAACGCGTGTTCGTTAATCTAAGAGGCGTGGGAAGATTTACTTCTTTCTCGAGGAAGCCGGCCCTGAGAGCGATCTGGTTCTCCTTCATGCGGCGCGCGTCCCGTGATCGTTTCGCTGCCATGTTATTCTTCCTACGACGCGCCCAGTATTTGTCATCCTTCAGGTCATCCGGAACGAACTGTGGTCACAAGCGGCGGATCATAGGGAACAGAAGAAAATTAGATTAGAAATTGACTTTAAAATCGTCTATAAATAGATCGAAGCGAGCCTGACTACCCCTTTGAACCTTTCGTCGTGTCTCGAGGATTATTGTTCACTTTTGTTCTTCGTTTCAATAGATCAACGATTAACTCAGGTAAAAGTGTTTCGGAGTTTTACTTTACTCAAAAGTCACTTTTGAAATCCTTATTTGTCAGGCTTCCTTGAAAAATGGATAATTACCGGTACCAGGTCAATCACTGGTACCTTTGCTTTACATATTAATCAGCTTAACCCTTCGAGTGCCGAATACAAACTGAAATCGACGAATTATTAATCTAATGAATTAAGTTGTAATTCAATTGCAATCATAATTACCGTTTCACTGAATCGAATAACGCCAAGAAACCTGTATATTAACGTTCAATGGCACGTGTACCACATGTGGTGCATACGAATTTTTGTAATAAAACATTTTTAAGGGACACACGGCCAAAAATAGTGATGTACGTGACAAAGCACCGAAAACATAAAGAAACAAAATACACAAAAAATTACCAAAAACTTGAATATAACTTAATATTTTATTCAAAAACTCCTATATGGCTTAATAATTGAATAAATTTATAATCTAACATTTTATTTAAAAAGTCGTACACTCGCAAATCTCAGCACGGCACGCGCAAGATCGAGAACACCGGAAAAACGCGTGTACCCACGTTCGCAACACTCAAAGAGTTAAACGCACGGTTGTTCTGTCGTTAATAGAGGAAAGATTCAAAGTCTCGAGCAGACGAGGCTAACGCGCGAATTTATTTGACGTTTACAGCTGAACGAACACGCGAGCCGTTGTCATCGGCTCTCAGTTTCGCTCGGCACAATGTTATCTTCATTTGAAATTACGTTACGGACGTTTCGCCGGGAATATTAATAGCGCGGAATACTCGTGTCCGAGATCCGCGTGTCCACTCAGCTGTAAAAACTGGTGAAGCCGCCGTTTAAAAGCGGCAAGTGCGTTTAACTGCACCTCGGGGAATCTAGAAGCGGTCGGAAGCGTGTCATGCCAGCGTGTTTCCGAGAATATAGATTTAAGGTGGATTAGGCCAATTGTGTTTTATGAGCTCGAGGATGGACTACGAATCGGACTGAAAGCAAGGTGAACAGACGATCGGTTAAGAGGGGAGAATATCATCCACTTTGGGAAATGAAGAATCTCTTCATTTCGAACGAACGTGGACGATTGACCCTTTGCACTCGAGAATATTTTTCTCTACAAATATTCATTATTTTCTGATGAAATATCAATATGTTTTACAACGATATATGTATTAATTAAGCGACAGAATTATTTTATTTCGATGCTCCATGTGTCGATGCATTATAGAAAATTTGATATTGAATTCTACATTTCATCATTTTGCTCGGTCAAATCAAATGGCGATTGAAAAGCGCCGCTCGAGTGCAAAGAGTTAACCGTTTGCACTCGAGAGGCGCTTTTCGCTCGCCGTTTGATTTAACCGAAAGAATTATAAACTTTTAAATTCAATATCACATTTTCTATAATTTAGCAACGCATGGAACATCCAAATAAAATAATTTCGTCACTTAATTTATGCAAGGTATTGTTTTATATTAATTGTAAAAAATACCATTGATATTTCATCAGAAAATAAAGAATATTTAAAAATATTCTCGAGCGCAAAGGGTGAACCTCTTGCGCTGGAGATTTGAAAAATTAGAGATTTAGAGAATTAGAGAGATCTAAGATATTATTCATTGGTTTCGAAGATAAATTAGATATTACTTTTCTACTATCAATCAATTTTTGGAACGAGAATATCTTGACGCAAGTCACGTGTTTCTAGCGCAAGGGTTAAACGTTGAATGTTTCACTGTATTCTCACCACCTTAACGCGACTTCTGCAGTGACAATAATGTTTTTGTGTTCTAGAGAGTCCTTAAATCTAGAGGGTGTCCCAGGAGTTAACCCTTTATAGATCAGTGGCACATACAGGAGTGTATCAATGAGAATTTGATGTTTCAATAGGGAAAACATGAAAAGAGGACATTACTGAACACGAATTGATCGTGTTCAATGTTGAAGTTTATTGGAAAGTTTAAGTGCTTCTTTCAAGTTTGTTCTATAAAGGATTAAGTAGATTGATAATGTAGAAGCCTAGGTTTCTATTGTACGATCATTTGAATTCGGTATAGTTGATTCGAGACGTTGAAGGAGAGATTTGATTAGTATTCCTGGGACGACCCGTTCACTAAATATTATACGTGAAAATAGTAATAAATTTTAGGTAACACACCGAACTCACCTGCTTCCGTGATTTCTTGATCATCGGTTGGGGTTTGAGCTCCTCGTCGGAGAAGGCCCGGGTGCGTGGATCGAAGTCTCGCCCCGATGAGGCCATCGAGAGCGCTGCAAACAGACAAGTTCTATTGTATTTCTGAGAAAATCTTATCATTCCTTAATTATCATATAGTTTGTCTTTTAAAAATATTCTCTTAGAAAAATTGCCATGTACCATATATGGTACACGCAGCATTGAACGTGTTAACCCCTTGCCACACAATCGATACACCTACTTTCTCATTAATGATTCATTAAGGAAAAAAACAAAATTATAGGCATATACTATATCAATCGCTCCAAAGTGTAATAATCGATAACATGCTAGTTCAATTCTTTTTTCCTGTCACGTTATTCTAACGGAAGAGGTTAACACCCCTTGTATTGAAAAAATATAAAATTGAATTCCAATTGATTACCTATTTAAAATATATTACACAACAATATGATATCTGAGTTTTTCTATGTGATGTAAGTTGACCTCAGTGGAAATTGCCATCCGCACAATTCAGTTTTCTGAAAATTAGCCGGTCCGCAATGTGTTAACCCCTCGACCTATGATTTCTTTCTCAACTCTCGATACGGCTACTTTGTCATTAATAATTTATTGGAAAAGGAGAAAAACTGTAGATATATTCTGTGTTTATGTTTGCTGTTAAGTATAATACTTGTTTGCAGAGAAATAATATTTATTTTGAATTCAAATTAACACATTGAGCGCCGGCCCCGCAATAATGCGGATTTCTGGATCCGTTAAATTGTACATGACGAATATGCAATTAATCCTTTGCACTCGGAAGCTTTTCACTAGAAATATTCGACACTTCCCGATGTGACATAGACGACACTATTTGAAACGAACTAATGAGAAAACATACCAAATTAAGAAACAAAGCTATTTTATATAAATTTTTCACATGTTGATGCATTATACAAAATTTAATATTATATACAACACTTTGTAATTTTGTTATATCAAATCAAATGGTGACTGAGAGTCACCTCGCGAGTGCAAAGGGTTAAAATGTACTATTTTACGAAAATGTATAAAGTTTTCAATATTTTTTTTGGCTACTCATTGATCGGATACTCAGGCTTTAAATGTTTCTTAGGTCGTCGGCGCTCAATGTGTTAACTAATATAGATATTTGTTGAATCATGTTGAAAATCATCACCACGAGTCTCACTCGTAGAACAAGGGGTTAAGCATCACCGTTGCATCAAACCATCTTCAACGCGCAATGTCGCGCCGGAATCTATCTATACTCACTGGAGTCCGCGGGCGAGGGAGGGTTCATGGTGTCGGGTGAGCAACATTCGCTCGGCGAGGGTGATCTCTCGCGCTTGGTCACCGGCTCCAGATGGACGCCGGCCGGTCCCTGGTGTCCGGGCGCCTCGGCGTTGTTGATCTTGTGCAACGGCCCGCTCTGCGTCGTGCCCTGCCCACCACCGGCCACGCCGTCCGCAGGAATGCCATTCTCGGAGAGGAACTCGTCGAGATCCACATACTGCAACAGGGTATCGTTTTCACATCGTTTTCGCGACGAAACAAACGTAGACGGTCCTCCCTTCTGAATCTCATTCAGACACCGTCGAGTATTGCCTCACTACAGTTTTTATTTCTGTGCACCCCTTTTTGGAATCGATCTCGGGGTTAGGCGAGAGGATCGGGAGTGGGCCTGAAGAATTTATTTCATTCTGACATTCTGCTTGATTATCATTGTGATTCGTGTATTTTGTTGCTGGCACGATCATGGAATTTCAATGAGTTTAGGGGACGAGGGTTTTGTGTCACGTTCAGCGATGGGTGACATTTTTGTTCGTAATGTTTATGATAAAGTGAAAATGTTGTTTGTGGAGGCGTGCAACGTAAGGGTTTATTTCGATTGGAATGTTGATTCTTTCTAGGTTTCTTGGGTGTGTGCTTTTGAGGTATTGTTGGATCTTTGTAATTAAATATGGGAAATTTCGATGTAGTGATTGTATAAGAATGAACTGAGGTGTGCTATTTTCTATAATCGCTATAAAAGTCAACTTAATTCTACTAATATTCTGCTAGATTTTGAAAGACCTTGAGCTAACTGATACGAAGCAAATAATATTATAATCTACTTTAATTAAACACTAATCTACCGAAAGTATACGTTTCTATCAAAGTGAAAAATCGAGGAAAAAAAGGGTTCGTAAATGAGCATGAACGAGTGAACGGTTAATTGTCCATGACTGTACAATGTAACAGGGAAGCAACGAAGCTCGGGGACGAACGAATCCTGAAGCTTCTACGGAAACGTTCGATCCGCGTGACTGTTTCGGATGAGGGATCAGGTTCAGCCAAGTTTGCTGCAGGCTTACCGTGTTCGCGTTTTTGTACATACATGGTTCAATACCTTCAGGTCGGCATCATAGGGCAGAGTTTTGTCCCAGAGGTTTGGGCCGAGGAAGGCGGCCTGCGCTTCCACGTTGCCCCATAGCTCTCCGTCTGCGTCTTTTTTCTCTTCTTTCCCTGGAAACACACGATTCGGCAACGTTAGTTCTCCGAAATTCCAACGACAAAACTGTATGCAACAATCTTTACCGATAACATTCTATCGTATGTTTATTCTTGTTTATTACAAAGGAATATTGTACATCATTACCGCATCACAATAAATTACGAAACGAAAAACTATCTCTAATTCATTTTAAAACCTCAAAAGCACTCTTCCTCTCACCACCACTTCCCCTGGAAACACACGATTCGGCAACGTTAATTCTCCGAAATTTCGACTACAAAACTGTATACAACGATATTTACCGATAACATTCTATCATATGTTTATTCTTGTTTATTATAAATGAATATTGTACACCATTACCGCATCGCAATAAATTACGAAACGAAAAACTACCTCTAATTCATTTTAAAACCTCAAAAAACACTCTTCCCACCATCTTCCTCGAACAATCAATCGAAATTCCCGCTCTAAAATTACAATCCCGATGACACAATCTCGAGAAAAGACCTGTCGAACAACGGAACACGCTGAACGCGAACGCGAGGGAATAAAAAGAAAGAAATAAAATCTTATTTCGTAGAAAGAAGCAGAGAGCCTGATACAATATTGATGTTCCCGGTGAAAACGTTAGCATACGAGTTCTTATTCAGCTTTAGAATACGCGATGACACGGCCCCCGACCCTCTGCCCCTTGCACCTTTTCTGCCTCGGCGTTGGAAGCCGCAGAAATTGCTTCGCGGAAGAAAAGAGAAAGAGAGAAATAGAGAGATAGAGAGAGATAGAGAGAGAAGAAGAGAGAAGGAGAGGATAAAAAAGAAGATCGTTGGGTTCGTGGCTGGCCTTGGAGATGTTCCTCCAAAAATAGTGAGGCCTAACCACCGCCAACGCCATCGTCCTCGAGAATCCCTCCCTCCCCCTCCGCTGGCTGCTCTTCCTTCACGGCCCCGTCCCGCGTTTCTTCCGCGTTTCTTTTTTTGCCGTACCCCCTTCGAAAATCGCGTTAATTGTTTGCGATGGCCGGGCCACGCACTGTCCTGCTAGAACCGTGGTTCCTCGTGTAGGTTATCCTTGAACGATCCTCTATGCTTGTAGCATTGACTCGAGTTAAAATATTCTGCGTTTGAGTTGTTTGAGATTGTTGGCGAGACCGATGGTGCTTAGAATTTAAGGGAATTCGATGAGATTCTGAATTCTGTTTAGATTTGATAAGGTACGGTTATCCTTGAACGATCCTCTATGCTTGCAGCATTGACTCGAGTTAAGATATTCTGCGTTCGAGTTGTTTGAGATTATTGGCGGGACCGATGGTACTTAGGATTTAAGGGAATTCGATGAGGTTCTGAATTCTTCTTAGATTTGATAAGGTTTCGTGTTAAATGGTTCAATTGAGGATTTCGTGTTGTTTTGAACCTTGGTGCTCAGGATTCAAGAACACTTCATGAATTCTTTTTAACACTCAGCATTCCATTTTATTGCAACCTCAATAAACAATTTCTTAACAATTTTTTCCATATTCATTTGTAGCATCACAATTGTACCATTCAAAGGTAACATTTCAACGACTCTTAAATATTCTTGAGTAAATAAGTAGAGCGTCATATTAAGCTGTAATCGAATGAAATAACGTCGACGTGAACCTCAAAGTGAGAAACCAAGAGCACTTCGGACTGCAAAGGGTTAAATCTACTGAGGTTTCTTAATGTCAGATTTAGTATCTCCAACTAGCATAGACATGAAAGCTTATTTTATTCGTTGCTGATATACTAACTCCCAACAAAATTTCAGTAGGATTTACACACGAGGCTTGGAAAGGCTTGGAAATTTCCACCTGAAGTAGAATGGAAAATTTTCTTGTATTTCTTACAAACTGTCGATAGTAAAATATTACACGAGCATAGTAACGAAAGTAAATAGTACGCCAAGGGGTTAAGAAGATGGTTGTTTCCGGAGGACACCGATTTCAACGAGAAACAGAGGATCGGACGTCGGTGTCCGTTGTCGACGGGAAATCGGCCGGCGATCTCGATGAAAAGTGACGGGGGACGGACGTTTTAAAAGCCTAATAACCATACGGAATACGCCGGGTTTCTCCGTGCACGCCAGCTAAACAACTAAACAACGACAGCTCGCAATTTGGTTCAAGGCTGATGGTCGTCGCCAGCTCTGCGGAACTAATCTCGCGTTGCGTGGCCGGCGCAACCGCCGCCGCCGCCGCTGCCGCCGCCAGCTGGAGAACACGGGGGAGCAGGCGGCGGCACGGCGAACGTTGGACAACCTGGGGAGGGGGGAACGAAAGAGAAGCTGATTGCGAGCGAGAAACGAGAGATGAAACAAACCGGAAAACCGGGGAACGTCACGGTTACGCCCGTGACATCTTGCGAAGTTTTACTTTGCTGAGATGGATCGACGCAGGATCGATTGCAATTGATTTCAACCCTTCGACGCGTTTCACGTCGCACGATTTCACGTTGAAGGATACGCAAAATGAGTGTTAGCATTGTTTATAATATTCAAAAGTCTGCAAATCATCATTTAATTGGATACAATATCATCTTTCCTATGAAACATTGGAAATTCTCCTGGAAGCGTTAACCAGTTAACTGTTTGACGAGTATACACGTCATCTTAAAACTCTTAACCCTTTGCACTCCGAAGTTTTTCACTAGAAATATTTCAACATTTTCTGATGAGATGAAGAAGATATTTTGTAAGACCAACTCGACGAGAAATTCACGTGAATTGACGGACAAAGTTATTTTACGTCAATATTTCTCAGATTGATGCATTATGTGAAGTATAATATTAAATATCAAGCTTTATAGTTTCACTGTAGGAAATCAAGTGGTGACTGAGAATCACCTCTCGAGTGCAAAAGGTTAATGGTGCTAACTTTTTCAACGATTATTTATTTTTTGAGACAAACATGTAATTCTTCTTCGTTTCGCTTTAGTTTTTCGTTAGGATATATTTCAAGTGCATTTGACCTGCATTTAACGAGTGTACACTTCATTATTTGATTTTATTGCGCCCACAAGGAGATATTTTTGAAACTAAATTCCTCACTTAACTGGTTAAGAGAGTCATCGTACAAATCGATTACAAGAGGAAAGTGATACAGTATTTTATTCGATTAAACAGCTTCTAACAAACACGCAAAACATGAGACAGTATATACTTGAAGTACCTGTTACTATTATTGCAATTTTCCCGTGACCTTCGATTATTTCATGGTACCGAGCCCTGTTATGATGAAATTTGTGTTAACACTAGGTTTACGGGCATTTATTGTACACTTCATTCTATTATTCCTAAAAGAATTGATGCTCGTTCATTTAGATTGTGAAAACTGGAGATTTGATAGTAAGTGATTGGGGTACATGTCAGTGTGATCGCATCAATCAAAATCGGCGTAAACATTTACAAAATAATATTTCTAAAATCCAATATGCGTCAATTTAATGCGTTCCGCAAACCTAGTGTTAATTACGAGTCGAGAGCTAATCAAGCGCTTCAATATCTTAAAAAATTAAACAAGAAGTTAATCGATGGTTCGAGTATCGAAACAAGGATCGCGGAAAGGACACAAACAGTCGACTCGCGAGTTGACCGAGTTTCCGTTCAGCCGAGTAGCGCAACAAAACCGGAAGAGCCGTAAAGGGCGCGATCGGCTGGTTCTGAATCGGGCCGGAGACGATTTCCGTTAACGGTAGAACCAGTTCTTGGTCTTGCCTCTTCGTTACACCGTAGGAGAGGCCGTGCCTCTAATTACTACGCTCCATCTCCCGTTTCCCCTCTTCGAGGCTGTCCGTTCTCCTCTCATCCCGATCGCTCCGTAAGAGATATTTCTTTATGCAATCGGCGGAACACGCGAGCGTGTTTTACCTGGTGCCTCTAGCACCGAGTGAGTCACGGATCCCGCGTGGCGACGGAAAAATCGAGACGAACCGATGTTTGCGTCTTCTCCGAGGAAACAAAGGGAAATCAGTTGTAGGATGTTCGCGTTTGGATTTTGTACTAGTAATTACGAGTTGCTCTGGTGATTTGAGAATTATCTGTTGACGACGATTGGTACATTTTGATGTCATTTTGTCGTTGAATGGATCAGAGATTTTTGAGTACCTGTTGCTTGGGAAGAATTGTTTTAATTGTTTCAGTAGCAACTGTTCTCCGTTACACTGTCTAAAAGTGTTTGTTTTCCTTTTAATTACTTATTTTTGTTTTCTATTTGGTAATGGCAAAACGGAAGAGTTATTCTCAATTCTTTCGAAACACAGAAAGTTACAGAATATAATCTTCAGTAATTTTAGAATCACAATTTTCTCTGTTGAAACGAGTGCAGAACTTCTCCAGAAAATCTCGAATAAGCACAGATGTAAATGTAATTTTATTTAAATAGACTACAGCTGGAATTAAACTAAAGTATATCTTAACCCTCTGAACTCTGCAGTTCAAATATTTGAATGAATCTTAAAGAAAGTATCCTAAAATTATTCGATTTTCCACACATCCAAATTTTGTGCTAACAAGGAAAATAAAGGATCGAAGAAATGTTATAGCGCTTCTAATTTTCGCTAGGAATACTATAAAAATTCGTTGCAGTTGCTGATAGATTACAAAACAACCTGGAGTGCTAAGGATTAATCTATTCTACGCAACAAGACTCTAAAAAAAAACACTATTCAACACTATTCCACTCCGCTCCTCTCGACGACTCTCAAAACTCTGTCCCCAAACGTCTTACAATCACCTTAACACTTTGGCTGCCATGTCACCCGATTTCGATAGACACCACGACTCACATAATCTTAAACATTACTTTTCTCGATGATGAAACGAAAAAAAACTGAATTCCGTTAGATGTGAGATACTAGAAAGATAATAGTGCAATCGTTACGAAGAATACTCACTTCTTAGTTTCAGCGTTGTTAAGAAAATTGCTTTGATTGTGTAGGAGTTTCGATGAGCGTATACTTGGCAGTCAGAGTGTTAAACATTAACCCCATAAACA